AATTGAGTTGAAATGTTTAATTTGGGCCTTCCCATTATTGAGGCTTATTATCTCCATTGGAAGCATGAGAATGAATGAGTTATTTTACATTCAGCCCCATTCCCATTCCATGCTTTCTTCTTCCAATGGATACAGTTTCTGAAAACCCTAATAAAACACCAAAAATAAACCCTATACCAAAATTAAAAGAAGCAATTCCCAAACCCAATGAATTCCCATCACACCTAACAACCCCTAATGTCTCCCCCACAGCAAGGATCCTCTGTGATCTCCTCACCCGAACATCGCCTCTCGAAATCGAAACCGCTTTAAACTCCTCCAACGTCTTCCCTTCTCCAGACTGTGTCATTGAGGTCATCAAACTCTCATACAATTATCCACACTCCGCCGTCAAGTTCTTTCGATGGGCCGGACGCCTTTCTCGGCATTCGGCTTATTCATGGAACTTAATGGTTGATTTGTTGGGTAAGAATCACTTATTTGAACCTATGTGGGACGTTATTCGTTCCATGAAACAAGAATGTGTATTGTCATTACCCACTTTTGTTTCCGTTTTCGAGAGTTATTGCACTGCTAGTAGGTTTAGTGAGGCTATTATGAGTTTCGATGTTATGGATAAGTATGGTATTAAGCAGGATGTAGTTGCTGTTAATTCATTGCTTAGCGCGATGTGTCGTCAGGAGAATCAAACTTGCGCTGCGTTCGATTTCTTTGATATGATTAAAGGGAAGATTGCGCCTGATGGTGATACTTTCGCGATTTTGCTTGAAGGTTGGGAGAAGGAAGGGAATGCTGCTAAGGCTAAGAGTACTTTCGGGGAGATGGTGGTTCGTGTTGGATGGAGTCAGATGAATAGGTCTGCTTATGATGCGTTTTTTATGACTTTGGTTCGGGCGTTGCAGATTGATGAGGCTGTGAAGTTTCTTAAAGTGATGAAGGATCATAACTGCTTTCCAGGTTTGAAATTCTTTACCAATGCTCTTGATATTCTTATCAAGCGAAATGACGTGGTTAATGCTATTACTATGTGGGATGTAATGGCCGGTAGTGGGTTAGTGCCGAATTTGATAATGTACAATGCTATGATTGGACTGCTCTGCAACAACGCTGAGATTGACTATGCGTTTCGGCTGCTCGATGAAATGGTCTTACAGGGTACTTTTCCTGATTCTTTAACTTATAACATGATTTTTGAATGTTTGGTGAGGAACAAAAAGGTTCGCGAAACTGAAAGGTTCTTCATTGAGATGATCAAGAATGAGCTTCCTCCAACTCTCGCTAATTGTACTGCAGCCATCAAGATGTTGTTTGATTGTGATGACCCGGAAACAGCACACGAGGTTTGGACTTACTTGGTTGAAAATCATGTCAAGCCACTCGACGAAAGTGCGAATGCGTTGCTCCGTGGCCTTTGTAAGTTAGGTAGACTTTCAGAGACGAGAAGGACTGCTGAACACATGATGGATAGAAGGATCAATATATATGAATCTACAATGGCGAAGCTGAAGGATGCATTCTATAAGAATAGAAGTGGAAGAGACAAATATGATAGCCTTTCCAAGAGGTGGAAAGCTCAATTCAAGTCGTAATCTAGAAAATAATTGTTTTCCTTTGATGTTAATGTGCGACCAATTTTATCATAGATAGTCAGGTTTTGCTCGTTCATCATTGTGTCTTGGCTTTGCCTTTAAATAGTATTCTACACGTTTCATCTTTTTCACTCCATGGCAGCCTCCCCTTCTAATAATAATGTCCTAGTAGTTGTCTTTCTTCTCTTATTCTTTTTTCTTATTCTCATATTAATTGTTTATGTGGGTGTGGTTATTCGTGTTCCTTCTGTCTCTGTTTTATGGCATGTCATGAAATTAAGTTTGGGCCTTATGATGACTGTTATTATGCATGCTCAGAACAAAGCTGAAATATGTGTTTCTTGATTCCATGATTCTACAACATGGATTTTTTATTATCTCGTGTGGGTTTGAGTGCAAGTGCTTTAACCCTCATTATAGTACTCTATCATGTTCTATTATTTGTACCATTACCTCTGTGGTGCAAATTGAGACATGGTTGGTGGACCACATGGAAGACCCAACTTGGAGAATTAAATGATAAAGCTCCTTTAGTTGGTTTACATGCCACTGGGGATTTTTTTCCTGGCATGGTTCACATTCCACAGTTCCAATTCTCTATGGATTGAGAGGTATACTATTCGATATGGCTATAAGCCATAGAATCGTGTAGGAAGTATAAAGGGTTAGAATAAACAGGGCCCCCTGAATCTGTTAATATTTGTTAGTAACTGTTATGGCTAGATAGTTGTGACAACTGTGCCAAATGTAGTTAGTTAATGTCAACTGTGAAAGGTTGAATAAGTAGGAAGAGAGAGATCATTCAGTGATTTATATGATTGAAGAGAGCCTAGGTCTCTTGAACCTCAGCAAAGAAAGGGGCATTGGTTCGAATGTACCATTCATATCACTGATTTGGCATCCAATTCTATGTAGTCAATCCCAGATCGTGAAACATTACAGCCTAGGGACGGCAACGGGCATGGGCGAGCACGGGTAGTAGCTATCCGCTACCCATTTTAGGGTTTAGGGTACTACAATACCCGTGCTCGCCCATATGTACTGCCGGTATTTTAAAACCTAGTTTTTAAAATCCGCGGGTACACGTTTGTGACTCGTGCCCTTGCGGATTTTACCCGCGAGTATGAATTTTTTTGCCATCCCTATTACAGCCTACCCCAAAAATGGGTAGTGGGATGACCAGGATATGGATGTTTAGGGAAGCAAAGTATATACTATAAACATATAAATGCTAACAAAGTACACAAAATTTAATACATAAGGCATAAACTCAAAATCAATCCAATGTACAACAACCAAGCCTTAGCCCCCTAGGTGGAGCAGGTTATATGAATCGAATGACGCCATAATGCTCTATCATAAATCATGTCCTTTGACAAAGCATTGATCTCTAATTCTTTCCTTATCTTTTCACCTATAGTTTTTTGGGCCTCCCTCTGCCTCTAGAAATTGGACTAACCTCCATTGTATGTGCTTGAATAGCCAGTCCTAAGTTCGAAAAAGACGTGAAGGTTGTGTTAGGCAGTCGATAGCCCACACAAAACTTTGTTGAATCTCTATGATATCAATTCAATTCCAATATAAGTCATCTAAGCTCAAGGCCTCTCTAAGGCTTAAAAGTAAGTACTAAGTTGCTAAGAATTCCAATATATAAGCTAAGTAAGTTTAAGTGATTGAGCCTCTTTAATGCTTAAAAGTAGTGATTAAGCATCTTTAAGGCTTAAAAGTAGTGATTAAGCCTCTTTAAGGCTTAAAACCTCCTTACAACAGCTACCCATCATTCACGATTGTTAACCTCGAATTAGGATCCTGGGCTAGTACACCGTGTTCTAGGAAAAGAAGGGAGTTTAGAGATGGAATTTACAAGCAATTGGCCAACTAAGCAGCAATGCTCAGGCTGCTAGAGGTTCGCTATCGGAGCCTACTAACACCAGGCCTAATATTGTGTTATGGAATGAAGGAACCACCCTTTGAAGGCTCGTAAATGTAGAAGGGCAGCAGGTGTAAGTTACCATCAGTGTGTATGCCTTAGTTGTGATGGAAAATAAAGCCCTAACCATGTTTGTAAGAACAAATAGTTCCATGTAATGTTGGTGGAAAAAGTGATATCAAGAGGACGAAGAAACTAAGCCATTAGGGAACTGGCTAGAATTGCATTGGCACTTGGGAGGGAAATCATTTGTCTCGAACCAAAAATGTTTTCACCTTTTGGACAAGGTGAATGCTAAGGGGAGGGGAAGGGGGAGGTATTGATGTATAGAGAAATAGGGCATCAAATCTATGTAGAAAATAAAGGGTTAAATAAAAGGGGAAATATGGTACCGTTAATGGATTGAACCTAAAGCTATGTTTGGATATCTAAAGAAATAGAATGTGATGGAATGGAATAGTTACCCTCCCATTATTTGGATATTTATGATGGAACGGAATAAAGATTCCATTTCATTGTTATGTAAAGTGTATCCTTTCCATTTATACACACATAGTTATGCACTTTAATGATGTTTTGATCGTGTACTCAAGCTTGGATTTATAGTTATGTAAAGTGTGTATCTGTTCTATTTAACTTGCACATTTAGTTATGACATGTTTAGTGTATATGTTCATATAATTGATCCATGGATTATTAAAATGCCAATTGAGCCTTTTCTAAGAATGCCCATTTTGATTTAACTCTGATGATTTAACTCCAATGACTTCTATATCAACTCTATCCTACATTGTCTACCTTAGCCAGTAAGGGTAGTAAAAATCAAAACCATTTGTACTATTCACGCCAACAACCAGCTTCCACTAGAAAGGAAGGTTTCGAGTTCTTGGTTGGGTTTGAATCTTCCATCCTGGGAAATGACTAGAAAGGTTTTATAGGAACATAATTTAATAAATACTTATAAGAATAAAAATGAAATTGGTTCCATCCCATACCTTCAATTTCGGAGGGAGCAAAAATTAAACCATCCAAAGAATGGCACATTGCTCCATTCCATGCCCTGCTTCATTTCACCATTTTCCATCAATCCAAACCCTTTCAACCAAAGTGCTGTGATCCTCACCAGTTGAGCCAGCCTTGGTTTGCTACAAGTATCTGCATTATTTTCAAATGTACTAGGATGTGCTCTTCCCTACATACAATGATAATCCTTATAAGTTTTGGTAAATATTAGATGATTTCACGTTGCACAAGCAAAACTTGAGCACAGATCAACTCTGTTATTTTGCAATATACCTTTCTATCAATGTATATGAGATATCAATTGTTTAGTTTATTTATGAATGACAGATTTAACTAACATGTAAATACCTATTCATTGATGGTTTAATTAAATTCGGAAAACATTTGTCTAATTTACATAGGACTGTGTAATGATGAAGCAAGATATCTAGTAGCTATTTATCTTGCCAACTATAATAATGTGGATTTAATGCAAGCACCAATGCATAGGATCACATCAGAACTCCTTAGTTACATGTGCTTGGGCTACAGTAGTATTGGGATGGGTGTGATCCTGGGAAGTGCTTGTGTTTTACCTCTTATACATTTATCATCCCTAGATCCCACTAAGTGGAGGTTAGGGGTGAGCGCGACCCGACCCTACTTGCTCACCTCGTATGACCCGATCATGATCAGACCCGAATAGGGTCGGGTCTAATCGGGTCTATGACCGAGTTCGAGTTAAAAAATTAGACTCAACCAATATTTAGGGTTGGGTAGGGATCAAGCATGACCCGACCTGTCTTGTCCCATAATCACTCACTCATCATGTTTGTATGTGTCTCTATTCAAATGTGTACAATATAATGACACCTTTTTGGTCGAAAGTATCATTGATTCTCTAATTTTTTCATCATATATACATGATCAATAATATATATATACATATATGATTTAATATATTAAATTACATATTCATAATAATAAATAATATTGAGAATATTTTATCTAAAATGAGTATGTATTAAACTTAATCGGATCTAGGGTCATGTTCGGGTTTAAAGACTGACTCGGTGAATATTTTGGGTCGGGTTAGCTTCGGGTCTAGGGCCAGGTTCGAGTTCAAAAAATGACTTACCCTGTACCAACCCAGCCCATGCTTACCCCTAGTGGAGGTAATGAAACTTAAGTAATAATTGATAGGAATCAATCTTGCTCATCATTCATAAGATTTAGCAACAGTCATTTGTCTATTTTATTTTTATTGATCTATCCTTTGTATTCATTAGCTTCAAATACCGATAAGGGTCGTCTACAAGGTTGCATTGCAAACTGCTGTAGTCTTCACAAACAATTGATCAACCATTTGAGATCCCTAACCATGGGTTTGAGTAGTTAAACTCATGATTTCTATCTGTTTTACTGTGTTTCTGTTTCATATGTATTGCGGCCTTCAACAAACTGTAAACTAACCATGGGTTTGAATCTGATGCGGCCTGATGCAGCCTGATGCAGTCTGATGTGGTTCAAATACAATCCAATATGGTTGCGTTGCGGTCCGCATCATTGTGATTCAGAGTCACACTGCAAATTTAAATAACTGGTGTGGCCACATCAAGTGATGCGGTCCGCAATTTAAATAACCGGTGTGGAACAATAGCATGAATATGTATGTATGAAGAGGAATAATATTGATCTTTACACATGTAAGCATCAATATCATTGCGCTCTTCATACATATTCGGGCTTTCGTTATAGACATATGATATCGATGCATACACTTGTAAGCATCAATATCATTGCACTTCATACATACATATTTGCATTGATGTAGAAGTTACAAAGTCAAGGGCTATTACTTTCATAGCTTACCTGCTTAAGTTATACAATGATATAAAACAAATTTACAAGCTGATATATTTGTGACAGAACATTTTGCTCTAGTTACCACTGCAACACCAAAATATACTAGTGTATAAATGAGTTACATATTGTTCAGGACTATATATAATTCTTTACATACCTTATTATTGGTTGAGTTTCATTGTCTTAGGAGTTAGGACAAAGTTACTAGAAATATTTTATTTTACAATAATGCTATGTACAATGTTACAGTCAAGTACTCCAATAAGGTTGATAATTTGTACAAAGATATGCTGTCACTGTTTACTTATATAATTTTCACTGCACAATTGTTACAGTATTTTGATAAACTTGCCATCATGACAAATTATTTCAAGTTATACTGTCAATGGCCCTATTTATATAGGGTATCCCTATTTATATAGGGTATTGTATGACACAGTTAATGTAATTATCCATGTTAATGTATAAGTTACTAAAGGGAAAATTTGAAGATAAATATTTTGTCAATGAATAAGATTTATGATAGAGTATGGTAGTGTTATTCGATTTATGTAATCGGCTCCAGCTAGCGGGGTCTAAGGTTGTATTTGTTGTTGTCATTGAAGGGTATAATTACACAACTTACTGATGATATTATCATGTAAGTGTAGAAGGATTGAGGTGCAGGAACAGATTTTGGTTGGTCTTTTGCTTTTGTTGTTGTACCATGCAATTGTTCTTTTGTGGACTAATTTTGTAGGATATATATTTTTCTCATAATAAAAATTAGAATGATTTGATAAATAAATATTATTAATTAATACTTATCTTTAAAATCAAAATTTACTTATATCAATTAAATACATGAATTGCAAAAACCACTTAAACTTCAAGAACAATTACAAGTTATAAAAGAGAAAAATAGTGTATCTATTGATAATATGTAAGGTTTTTTATATCGTTTTTCATTTAATATTAAATAACTAAAAGGTAACAATGGTTTTATTCATAGACGTGTGGAAAAGTAAGTCTAACAACATGTACTTTATTATTAATTGGGTTTTAAGATGAAACTTAAATGTAATATTAGAGGTATAAATCAATTTCTATCCAATATTATGAACTAAAGCTGGCCTTTCATTCATGATGAAAGGTAACCCATGGCATTGATGGCTATCTTGACCACTTGCTTTTTGTTTAGTACATGTGTAAGTTAAGGACATAATAGTCAATTTATAGAAATTGAGTAATTTCATGTTATGAAATTTGAGTCGGACAACAAATTGGAAGATGTTGTGTATTAGGTTTAATCGATTAGTTAAATCGTCTGGTCGGATTAGATGATTTATATATAATTAATAAATATCTATAAATATATAATTTTATATAATTAATAATTATGTATATTTAATTATTGTAGTTTAATCAGGTTTAACATTGTAAGATTGAAATTTTCTCGTTTGAAAATGGTCCAACCCCTTCTTCGGTTAAGAATGCAAACCAAAACCATTTTCAAGTCCGGACAACAGTCGGGACCATCCAGTTTGATCCGATCCTCCCAACATTTGTTTCATCTAAATGAAGCTTTCACTTTTTAGACAATTTGTGTGGATTCTTTCCTTAACTAACTAACTAAGAGATCTTAATGAAACTGCCACATGAAATTGGGCACAAATTTGCAAGGAAATACTCCGTTTGTTTCTCAAGAAACAATCAAAGCTAAATGTGAGGAAAAATAATGGTTATTTACTAAATGTATAAAAATATTATTTGTATTTTTTTAGGGTAATTTGATTGAAATTTATTATATACATACCTTGATCTAATTAAAAGTCAAATGGAGTTAATATAGAATTTAAGCAAGACAATATTATGTGAAATCCATAGTATAGTTTTGACTAAATTAAATTATTATTATTATTATTATTGTAAGATGATGATGATGATTGTGATTAAAACACCTTAACTTTATAAGCTTTGCTTATGTAATTTTGGGTCTACTTGGATAGAATAATTAGTAGTGATGACAAAAACCAAAGTAGTATTTAGCAATGCAAGTTTGGTATTTCACCTTTTAATAGGCAAGATACTATTAGAATAATTTGCCAAATAAGAAATAGATGTGAAGAACAAGATTTAATGCTTTAGAGCTACAAAGGAAGATACCAAAACCTTCACACCAATTAGAGTTAAAGAATCATAATTTAGTTTTTTATTCTTCTTTTTATTATTTATTTGCACCAACCAATGATCTTTAGACTAATTAATGTATTTCTAGTCCTAAACATCACTAAAGTAAATTTTAATTGTACTCTTTTTATACAATTTAATTCATATAATTTTGAAGAAACTGATCATTTACCAATAGAATTTTATAATATCGGCAAAGCGTGTAAAACCGGTTAGAGAATAATATATTTTTATAATCAAGCCGTGTTTTAAATTTTACTTTGCAACTGTAATTGCAATTATAATAGTGTAGTTTCGGGAGTTTCCACATCAATATTTTAATTACAGTTTATTGGACCAGACTCTGATCGATGAGTTTCCAACTACTGAGAAGTTCCATTGTTATCGGGGTATGGGAAGAGCGGAAAGTTACAAGTGAGACAACAAATTTTGAACCGAAACCTTAAGTAATTAGTTTCTTGGACATTTTCTACTTATAAACTCTTTTACTCCTTCTCACATATATAATGTGGAATTTTACACTTGAATAAATCCAACAATCTCCCCCTCAATTGTGGGTACCACACACTTTCCGGTTCACTTCCCCTTAAATCTACCATGTACCAACCGAACCATCGACTCTAATACCACATTTTGGAGCCATATCAACCATACCATCTCACAGTTACAATAAAGGTACACTCACAATTTAAAAAATTGAGCATAAATAGAAGATGAGTGAAGAAAATGAGAATAAAAAGAAAACATGATTCTCACTTAAGCTTCTCACAAGCCAAACTCTTCTCTCCTTCTCACAACATAAAACCAACAAGAAAAAACACAAAGCATATTTTGGTCCTTCTATATTCATGCCGTCCCTTAACTAACATGAAATTCAAGAGGAAACTTGCATCGGCCGGTCGAAACGACGACCGGACCAACCCCTTAATCTGGCTAGCCGCGGTTGTTTGCACCATAATAGCGATAGCGGTAACGATTTCAGGTATAATAATCTTCATTGCTTACTTAGTCATCCACCCTAGAGTACCTACCATTAGTATCACCAATGCACACCTTGACCTTCTAAAAAATGACTATGCTGGTCTTCTCCAAACACAAATTTCAATTGTTATGAGAGCACAAAATGGTAATGCTAAGGCACATGCAACATTTTCTAATATAAGGTTCAATATTAGTTCCCTAGGGCAAGATATTGCTATTCTTGTTGCTGATTCATTTGAAGTACCAAAGAATGAGTTTAAAGATCTCAATTATGTTGTTCAATCATCATCTATACCATTGAATTCTGATCAAATTGAGAAAGTTGATGATGCATGGAAAAAGAATGAGATTGTTTTTAATTTGATTGGAAGTGCTAGAACTATGTCAAGGGTAGGTCATATTGGAGCATTTAAGTTCTTGGTTCATTTGGCTTGTGATCTTAAGTTTCATCCTTTGAATGGGACTTATATTCCTTCAAGGTGCACTTCCAATTCAAAATGATTCTTTCTTTCATTTTTTTTTTGACTAAGTTCTTCTATGTCTTTTCTTCACCTTACCCTTCTTTCATATGTGTAGTTTATTT